GCGTATGCGGGTGCGGCCCGCGGGGAAGACTTCGAGGGTGTTGCCGAGGAAGCGCGTCTTGGGGGCGCTGACGATGTCGTAGGTCCAGCGGGCGGCCTCGGCGTGCGCCGCGCCGACGGGGGGGTGGTGGCTGACCTGTCGGTGCGGTTTCGAGGGTTTGGGGTTATGGAGGTTGTATTGATCGCTGGATGGATGGATGGATTTGAGGGTCAACATGGCTGGTGGCCGAACACGTGCTGCTCGTTGGCGGGGGCAATTGCAATGGACCGGGGGAGGGGGGGGGAGCACAACATGAAGTGGGCCCAAGGGGCTCCCGCCCGCTGCCCCAACGCCAAACGACGCCATCAGGCATGGCTGCTGCTCCAGGCCCAACCGCGCCGCCCGCGCACACTTCATGCAGCTGCCCCTGCTGGGCCACTGCGTTACGAAGGCCTCCCTTTCCAACTCGGGCCCCCACGGCGCCGCTGGAAAGGCATACACGGGCCCCGCACCGACTGCGGCCCGCCTCCCCTGCAGTCTGGGCCCTGCAGCGGCGCTGCAGCGTGGCTGGAAAGGCCCACCTGCTCGGCGAAGAACCGCGCGTCCTTGTTTGGCCCAAGGCCCTCCAGCTCGTAGGTCTCCCCCAGCAGCGGGTTGAAGGGCTTCCACGCGCGCTCGCACGCGCCAAACGGCGTCATCAGGAACGCCGCGACGAGCGCGATCCTGCGGGGCGGGCGGCGCGGGCGGTGGTGAGGTTTTCGGAGGCGGCTCGAGGGGCGTGGCTGCCGCGTCTCACAGGGCCGGGCTCGGGGAGGGTGCGTGAGGATGCGTGGATGATGGTGGGCGGTGCTTGATCGCTGCATAGATAGCCCCAGGCTGTGGACAGGGACATGCCGTTTCGACGGCCGCTCGGACCGGCCTAGTCAGCCCCGACCCTGCTGCACCGCAATGCGCGGCACTTGCCCTCTATTCAGCTACAACCGTACAATTTTGGCAACAGGGCAGGGTAAACCCTTCCCGATGATGCCCGGCCGCTTGTCTACCCATAGCAATCGCACGTGCCCATGCACTCACACACACACACACACACACACACACGCACACTCCCACACACTCTCTCTCTCTCTCTTGCTCGTCCCCCCCTCTCTCTCTCTTTCACACACACACACACACACGTTCATCCCCAACCCCACTTAGCTGGCCCCAACCCCACTCAGCTGGCCCCCACCGCCCCCCCTCACCTCTCAACGGGATTCTGCGCCGCCGCCGCCGCGTCCAGCAGCCCCGCGTACTCCATCATCTCGGCCATCTTCTGCAGCATGGACGTCGGCTCCATGATGAACACGGGGACGCTCAGCAGGCTCAGCACGTCCGCGCCCATGTACTGCCGAATCTTTGACAGGTCAAAGGCCTTGCTCTTGGCCTGTGGGGGTGGGAGTGGGCGAGCATGGGGCTCGAGGTGGGCGTGGCCGCGGGACATGAGGTATGGGCTGCATGGGCTGTAGTGGAGGAGGGGTCGGAGGTGACGCGCTAACGTGATACCAGGCAGGCACGTCGGCATCGGGACCCTGCGCCCCGCTGCGAGTTACGCAGCGGTCAGTGAGTGCCGCTCTGCGCAAACCGAAAGGTGCAGGTCTGTCCACGAAGCTGCGCCACTGCGATCGTAGAGCCCTTGACACCCAACCATCCAACGGCCAATGCTCGGCCGTAGTTCCCTGGCACCTCTTGCAATGCCTTCTCATCTTGGGGCGGCCCGTCCAGCACCACCGCGGCTGGGCCCTTGGCACCGGCGCGCTTCTCCAGAGTGCACTGCACCTCGGCGCGGGTGTCAGGGGTGACATCCTCAGCCCTGCGCGCGTCGGCAGGAGCATGGGTGTTTCAGCTAGGTCAGCCTCCAGAACAGCCATTGGTTGAGAGAGGTGGCTTTGCGCCATTGACCTCCGCTGGACTCTGAATCACCGACGTAGTACGTGTCGGCGACAGGTGTGGCATGACTGACGGCACCGCAAGCTGTCGCTAGGCAGTCCTTGCCGCTCCGGGCGACCCAGGCTGGACTTGACCGTTTGAAAAGTGCACTGCGATCGGCTACCGCGTGCACACCCACAAAACGAGCTACCGGAGCCTTGGCCGTCGCCAAACGTTAGCCTGGCGATGATCGTCGCACCTGCTGGCCGCCTGAGCCAAAGCCTCGTCGTGAACTCGATGTCCCAGGCTCCGAAGTTGCTCTACTATGCCATTTGTCATACTGATTGAGCCAGCTGGGTGCTGCAGATTGATAAATCAGTGCGGCCTGCGCCCTGAGGCTTGATTGGGTCGATTATTATATGGTGTTACGCATTGATTTGACTGCAATGATATAAAGCACGTTGTGGGGGTGGTACATTAGCTGAGATGTATGTCAACTATGAGCGCTGACCTCGCCGAACGTGCGGACAGCTGTTCCGCCCCATGTACAGTGATGTATACAACAAGCTTGAGGCAATGATGTTTTTTAAGGCAAGAGGGTCTAATTGGGCGAGCCACTGACCTGCCCCCCGTGCTGACCTGCTAGTGCTTTGAACCCGAGATGCTGACGAGCATGCAGGGGGCGCCCACGTACGGGCACTCAGTGTTCAGCAACATGCCTTATGCTTGGAATGCTGGGCAAACAATGTGGTCAAAGTCACATGTATCTCATCCAGGCACCCAACTGCAGGATTGCTGTTGTTTTTTGAAGTTTTATTGTGGCTGCTTCTCCAACCAACATCTTGCGAGGCGATGAGCAGCGGGATGAATGGGTCATTGTTACCCAAGTGGAGGCTAGAAAGGCGGCAGGATGCGCCCAGCATGTGGGTACCACGCTCCCCAGCTAGGGAGCGGGCAGGCAGCCAGGCGGGCGGGCGGGCAGGCACACACCGCAATCTCGGCCCGTCGTACTCATTTGCAATCCAAGCGGCGTGTGCTGCGGCTCGGCAACTTGCGCATGCAATTTGAGGGGTTGCCGCGGCGCGCGACAGCCGAACGGGCCGCTGCTGCTGGCAGTCGTATCAGCAGCGCCGGGACACAAACTATGGAACGCTACTGTTGCTGCCTGATGGAGGAATGACTTGCAGAGGTGCGTCGAGAGCCGTGTCGATCGGCCGGGGGCCAAGCCAAAGCAGCTCGCTGCTTTTCAAGACGGCAGGGCGGATTAGTGCTGCGCCGGTGGCTGCAAGCGTGTCCAGCGCCTTCCGGCGCGACGGCGCCCTCCCCTCCTCGCGCTCATCTGGGTGCTCACGATCAGACAGAGTACCTGTCGCGCGCCTTGCCCTGCTGCAGCTTGTCGGCCTGCGCGTCGAGGGGGGGGGGTGGTGTGAGGACAAAGCGGGGCGTGTGTGACCAGGAGCGCTCGCACGTGCCCAAACGCCTGGCGATCGTCACTGCCTGCTGCACCGTCGCTGACCACAGCGTGCAGCCAGCTCGGCCAGTCAAAACCCAGTTAACCTGCTGTAGCGACCCACATCATGCAAGGACCCGGGAACGGGCAACCAGTGGCACAGGTGCGCAAGCCTACGGCGCGTGTGACTCACAAACACGGAGAAGCCGATCTTGGTGTTGTCCGACATGTCAATGAGAGACTTGAGCTGCTTCCCGACGCTAATCTGTGGCCCGAACAACGCGAGAGCGCAGCAGCGCAACTTCAAGAATGACGCCCACAACAAGCGTGATGTGCAGGGCGTTACGTCTGTGCGCCCCGCATGCTGGACAACCATCCCTGTGGTCTGCCTGGCCTGGCCACCCTTCCAGGCGGGACGTTTGACGCGCCATCAATGCGGTGATCGGAGTGCCGCACGCTGCTGCCCCACCCCTGCCAGCGCTTGCAACCAGCAACCACTGCAATAATGCATCGACCCTGGTGAAACCAGTGGCAATTTGCTGCACACCAGCGCATGCATCCCAGTGCTGGTACCTTGAACATGTGCTAGACACAGGCATGCACCAGCACCAGCTCTGCTTAAACTGCTATTGCAACCCCGCACCTGCAGCGCCTCGTTGGCCGCCGTCTTGGTCCACATCTCAATGCGGTTCTTGCCGTTACGGATGTTGACCGTAACACCGCAGACCTCATCGCCCTCCTCAAACTGCTCGCCGATGCACGCCAGCACCTGGATGGCACAGCAGATGCGGGGGCGAAACAACTAGGTTGTCACTGGTTGTCGGCTGCAGTTACCCGAGTCAAGTCGAAATGTCAAGTTTGCTAGTGCTCTGGCTTCAAGCATGTCTATAGTATGGTACTAGAGGCTGAACATATACCTGAGAAAGCAGCAGCGGTAGCGGCAGCGACAGCAGCAGTGGCCGCAGCAGCATGCACATGGGAAGCGCACACGGGCGCCACAGCAGCAGGAGCAGCGCAATCATACAAGAGCGCGTAGGCGGATCCGCAACACCCTGCGCACCACATGCAGCCACCAGGCATCCAGCAGCTGGTTGGCGTTTGGTGTGCGCGGCACGGTCGCTGTCCAGCAGCCGCCGTTTGTGTTCTTGGGGTCCTCCCACTTGGGCTGGATCCCGTCCTTGAACAGGTAGTAGGTGGCACTGGGCTGCAGCTGGCTGGGCGCCTTGATGTTGTTGTACAAGCTGCGAGGCAGGGTAGAGCACGGAGGGCCCCGGTCGGCCAACTGTGGCGATCCGGAGGCACGGGCGGCCCCACTACGGTACGGCCTCCTCAGGAGCTATAGCGGCCGCACTCACCACCAAAAGTCCTCCACTGTGTCGAAAGAGTACACAGGCCGCAGCCCCTGCCCGAATTTGTTCATGCTCTGCTTTTGCGATGGGTTGTCGAACCAGAGCGTCCACCGGGTCTCAAGGGGATGCCGCCGCGAAAGGTCTAGCTCATCACCCCCCTGCTGCGGCGCCTCCTGCTGCGGCGTGTCCTCGGCCATCGCAATGTGATCTGTGTGACTGCCGGCTGCGGTGATTTGTGTGTATCGACAGTAATTTATCAGCGTGGTTTGCACGTGTGCGCGCGGGGCGAGGTGAGCGATCTTCTGCCTGTCAGGCCATTTGGCATTCCTGCGGGCGGACCGTATTGTTTATTCCGGCACTCAACTGTACAACTGACAACCTTTTGTAGGCTGGCACAAAATTCAATCAGGCCGACAGTTGAAGACTGGGACTCGCGCGCACAACCCTGGGAGCCGATGCTGAGCTCTGGTCACCTCTTCCGACGACGGCGCCGGTGGTTTCGGGGTGCTGATGCTGCAAATTGGAGAATCACGCCGGACAGCGAAGCTTCGGAGAGTGGCCAAGCATGTCCCTGGAAATTTGATTGCCAGCTGCCCTGGCAGGGCCGCTGACATGATGACAACGCGGTTGGACCCATTGCTGCTCATCCAGGCCGGGAACATGGTTCAATTACCCCATGCATGCTATCATGATGCATTGCAAAGCAGGCGGCGGTTCACAACACACATGCACCTAGCGACAACAGCTGCACAGTCAAATGCCCAGCTTCATGGCGAGGTCCCCGCTCATATGGTGGTGCTGCTGCTGGGGGTCGTGCTGCTGGTGCTGGTGCTGGTGCTGCTGCTGCTGCTGGTGTTGTGGGGGGTGCTGTTGCTGGTGGTTTTGCGGGGGCTGCTGCTGGTGCTGCACGTGGTGGTGGTCGTGCAGGTGCTGCTGATGCGCGCCATGCGCCGCCCCGTGCGCATCGGCGCCGCCGCTGTGCGCAGCGTGTGCGCTGTCTGCCGCGTGCCCGGGATGGCCGTGCTCGTCCACAAAGCCGGGGTAGTCCGCATAGAAGTGCTGAGGGTTGATCAAATCATCCAGGTGCTCTGGCTGGCCCGGAATTGGCGGCTGCGTAACGTGCGCGCCGCCAGCTGCTGCAGGATGCTCGGCTGCAGCATGCCCAGCGGCGGCATGCCCAGCCGCGGGGTGCCCAGCGGCGGGGTGTCCAGCGGCGGGGTGCCCAGCGGCGGGGTGCCCAGCGGCGGGGTGCCCAGCGGCGGGGTGCCCAGCGGCGGGGTGCCCAGCGGCGGCATGCCCTGCGGCGGGATGCCCAGCCGCTGCATGCGCTGCGGCGTCCTGGTGGTGTGCAGGCACCGACGACGCCGGCGTCGGGGTGGGATGGGCATGCTGTGACGGGCCATGCCCATGGTCTGGAATCGGCATTGCCACCGGGGTGTGCACATGGTGCACCGTTTCCGTGTGGACGGGCGCGTGGTTTTGCTGCTGCTGGTGCTGCTGCCCCTGATGGTGCTGCTGGTGCGTGTCCTGGTGGTGATGCGCCTGCTGCTGTGCTGGCGCGGCATGCGGCTGGTGCTGCTGGTGCTGCTGCTGTTGCTGCTGCTGGTTATGCTGCGCATGAGGATCAGATGGCCCGGTGTGCTGATGCACAGGCGGCTGCTGGTGCTGGTGCTGGTGCTGCTGCTGCTGCTGCTGCACAGGAGGCTGCTGATGTACAGGAGGCTGTTGCACGGGGGGGTGCTGTGCTGGAGGTGGTTGCTGCGGCTGCTGCTGGTGGTGCTGTGGAGGCTGCTGCTGCTGCTGCTGGTGCTGCTGCGGCTGCTGGTGCGGATGGTGGTCGTGGTGGTGGTGCACCGTCTTGTTGGGGGCGTGCTCCATATGCTTGGGCTTGTGGTGGTCGTGGTGGGGGACTGCTGCGGCGCCCTTCGCCTTGACAAGCTCGTCGCGCAAGCTGCGGGCAGGTGGGGAGAGGACGCAAGGGACATAGGCTACGAAGCACATCAATTTACCGTTGCATTGACCATTCAGTACCACCAATTGTCCTAACGTTCTCCCCTAAAAGACGCCGAACCTGGACACACCCACTGGTCAGCTGCCCCTGGTGCGTCAGCACCCACCTTTGGATCTCCGTCTGCATATCCTGTTCCATTGCCTCCCAGTCGGATTGCAGCTCCATCCACGTTTCCTCGCGCTCATTTGCTGCCTGGTTCTCGTCATCCATTGTCTGTTCAAGCTGATGCACCCTGCATTTGTTATGGTGGTGGTAGAGTGACGCAGCTGGGTGGTCGGGTGAGGGGTCTGTATCACAGGCTCGGCCCGTGCCCTGTAAGGAGGGCAGGGCAATGCTGCACATCACAGGCCGTGCTGCATCAATTGCGAGCATTGGTGCTCACTGCTCCTCAGAGTCCTCCAGCCTGTGGCGCGCATCCTCTAGGTCGTGCTCCAGCGCAGCCAGCTGCGTCCGCAGGTGGTCCACCTGTGATAACAAGGAGACAGGGCACGCGTCCAGAATCGTATCATGCCCCATGCGTTTCGCTCCACAAAGCCCTGCAAGTCTCACATAAGCAGCACAGCCGTTGCGGCCTGCTCGCCCGTGCCCAATGGCAGCTTGCGCGGTGCCGATGGGGCCTACGCGCGCCCCCTCGACCCATGTGCTCCTCCTCGGCGAGCCCAGCGCGCAGGCTGGCAGCGCCCACCTCGCCCTGTCGGGCCCGCAGATCCTGCTGCAGCTGCGCGGCCTCGCCGGAGGATCCGTGGCGCTCCGCGTCCAGCATGGCCTCGGCGTGGAGGCGCGCGTTCTGAGGGGGCGGGGGAGGGCGCAGATGGGTGACAAATGCGGTGTGGGTGCTGCGGCGGTCAGCGCTGCGCCAGCGCATGGGCGCCGCCAGTGTTGGGCTTTGAGGTTATGATCTCAAGGAACCCAGTTATCAAGAGGGTCGACGTGTTTGTCCCCTCCCCCGAATGTTGTGGCGACCTCCTCTGTCTGCGCTGCTGGGGTGAGCTCTGGCCAGTGCTCGGACATCCTGCCACCCTGTCCCTCACTCCCTCTGCAACATGGGACCATGCGACGGCCCTCGCACGGTTTACCCGCCGCAGCTCACCTTCTCATTGACCAGGTGCTGCTCCATGAGATTGACATGGTGCGCCAGCTCAGTCAGCTGCGATCGCGCCGCCATCAAGGACCAACCCAGCGCAGAGCACGCTATGAGGAGGAGCGCCCCGGTTGTCCAGACCACAATGCCGCCACCGGCACTCCGCTTCGTCCTAGGAGTCGTGTAGGATCCATAACCAAACTGTTCAGCACCACCGCCGTAGGATGGCAGCCCGCGCGATCGCACGGTGCCGCCCAACATCGAGCAGCGGTGTCAGAATGCTGCAAGCTACCGCGAACACGACGATCGAGAGTGCAATGCCTTGGCAGGGCGAGTTCACTCTGAATGGAAGACCAAAATCAGAATCAGAATCAGATCACCGCGTGTGGTATGCCAAGGACTTGCTGAACCTCAGCACGATCAATTGGGTTGACTGAGGGCACCGCAGCTGGATTGTGCCGTTGGCCCAGCAGGTAGCTTCTCATTCTCGAAGCTGCCGACGGGGTGGTTAGCTCCCAACGAGATGTGCTGGCTCTGCTATCACCGCAGTCAGGATGTCAAATTTTTGAGGGTTCCGCTCGTGTTTCATGGCTGCTGGGCCCATAGGCACAGAGCCCCATGTGGCCTACCATTGAGCAATTTGTTGGCAACCGACTTGTTACTGTGCATGCATCGTACGTAGTCTGCCGGGCGATGCTCACAGTCTTGTGTGTGGGCGTGGATGTTACATAGAATTTGCACATTGGCTGCTGACCCACATGCAGGGGTGTGTGGGACATGCACAATGAAGGAAGGAATCGTGGCCCAAAAGCTGATTTCTGCCCAGCAACTGCGCAAATGGGGTCCTTGCAGCAGGCCAGCATTTCAGCGGGTGTGCGCCGCACAGTACACAAACTGTGATTGTTGAAGCAGCAGTGGGGGTTTCATCTGTTTGATTGGTGGGTGGGTCAGATTGTGCACAACGCTCGCATCACCTCGCCCATCTCCTGTCTGCAACGTGCCCACGTATTCAACCACCTCTGAAGTTGCTTGCCCACGCTCTGGCACACAAAAATCAATTGGCAAAAGCATCGCATTCATCACATCTGCCCCTCACCCGCGACAGCCCGGCTTGCCCCTCCCCTCCCATGGTGGCCGTGGCCCCATCATGCAGCCCAAGCAAGTGTCACAACAACATGCTGCAGCGACCCCCCCACCTGGCTGAAGTTGACTGTGATGTTTCCTACAAGGTGCATGCATGCAAAGTTATGTGAGATTGTGCGTGATCATGGTTGTTTGTGTTGTGCCCACGTGCGTGCGGGCGTGCAAGCGTGTGTGGGTGTGTGCGCGAGCGCGCATGTGTGTGTGTGTTGTGTGTGTGTGTGTGTGTGTGTGTGTGTGTGTGTGTGTGTGTGTGTGTGTGTGCGCGTGTGTTGTCTGCGTGCCCATGATCGTACAAGGTACTGTTTTGTAGTATTGTATGCGTCTATGTGTGTAGGTTCGTATGTGTGATTAGGACTGTGAGCTTGCATGTACATAAGTATGCGTACCATACGTGCGTGTGCACGAGCTTGCATGCGCACATTCCAGCTGATGCATTTCACAAAGCGCAAGCCTGGCGACGGCCTGCTGGTACGTGCAGGCCGCAGCACGTACAGGTTTTCACGGCAAATTTGCATCATCAACATGGCGGTCCTGAAGCACCCCACCAGGCCGCGAACGAGGCTGCGCTGCACACCTGTCCGATGTGGGTCAAACGCAGCAAACGTGCGGGTCCCTGTCTGCAGGAAGAGGCAGGCACGGATGTACTCGTCCAGGGAGAGCTGCTTGTTGTTGTCGGGGTCATACCTCTGTGTGCGTGTGCGCGAGTGTGTGTGACAGCAGGCGTGGCAGCTCAAGAGTCTTGGTGCCAGGTGCTGTGGGTCCAAGGAGTGGGGCTGCAGAACACAGGGTAGTTCAAAATGCAGGAGAAGGCCGATTGATTAGACAAGCCGAGCCCTGGCCTTGGCGTCCCGGCGCGCGCGAATGGGCGAGCGGGTGTGCCGCTCGCATCCTTTTCGACGCATCTCACGTCGATGAGCGCCGCCACCGCTGGCGGGTCCAGGTTGAACCCCGCCTGGCGCAGCGCCGCATTGACCTCATCCTGGGAGGGGGGAAGGGTTGGGCGCGTGCGCGCGAGCAAACGGGTCAACATGCGCGTATGTGTGTGTGCACGGGGTTGAGGAAGCGTAGAGGCACACGGGGCAATCCACTATTGGTTTCGCCCGCCCCCGCGCCACGAGCTCTCTGTGCACAGTCTGGTGGCAGCGTTGCAGGCCGCCGTGAGTGGTGCCTGATGCGTGCACCCTACCGTGGACAGGCGCCCGCTGCGGTCCCGATCAAAGGCCTGGAAGCTGTTCTGGACGTTGACAAGGAAGTTGTGCAGCCTGCAAGGCTCGTAGGAGCGGATCAGCGCCCTCATTATGATGTGCGCTGGACAAATGAGGTGTTCCGTGGGTGGTGAGAGCACGTGGGCATCTGCAGGCAGGAACCATGGTGGTGCTGCTGCGGGCTCTGCAAGCGTCGCCGCCGGCGCAGCACCCCGCCCACCGCTGGAACTCGTCGTAGCCCAGGTTCCGCGTGCTGTTCTGGTCAAAGGCGCGCACCATGCCGTCGACCTGCAGGGTGGCAGGGCGTGTTGCTCAAAGAGAGCGTCGGAGGCTCGTCGGCAGCAACTTTCCATAGTCGGCCCTTGCAAGGATCATGCAGGGTTTTGCTTGACACAGAGTTTCTTGAAAAAGGTGCGTGAAGTAAGCCGAAAGATCAATTGGCTGATTCCTCGCTCCTTCGCCGCGCCCGTTCGCCGCGCTTCGCGCACCCACATCTGTGAGGTCAAAGTTCAGGTTCCCCAGGGCCAGAGCCCGCTGCAGCTCCCTTGCATCGAGGTGGCCGCTGCCGTCCACGTCAATGCTGTTGAACCACTGCGGCGCGAGGAGGCAGGCGACCACTCTGGACGTGGTGCATGGGGCCGTGGTGCATCAAGCAGCGCAGGTGGGCGGTTGGCGCTCACATGCATGCGCTGTGCGCTATATTCACGTGGATGGATAAAACAGCTTAAATATACCTATCACACCTGTCTAAGCTGGTCCCCCATCAGGCCCGCACGCAGCTGAGGTGGACTTGATCGAGGAGATCACGGGTTGGACTTGATACAGGAGTGAGATGCAGTGGCACAAAAAGTAATGAATTTACGGTAACGGGGGCAATGATGTACGGCCCGACTCTGCACATTCTCCCTGAACATTCACACCCACTAGCCAGAGCCTGCGTGGCACTGATCAATGTGGCCAGGGGCTGCAGGCCGCACGTGGGTTTGGGCAAACAGCAGTGTGCGTCAGCAGTCTGAGAACATGTAAGCTGCTGTATCACATGGTTGTAGCCATGAGCTGACACGTCGGCTCATCTGCAAGCACTGTGGCGGTCAACGCTTGACTCAGTGTCAACCCAGGCTGCAAACGTTGGTGTCACGTGTTGTCAACATGGATGAATTACACTGATGTTTTTCAAAAGGCATGCGCAGTTGCACCAATATGCAAGTGCTTGTAGAACAGGTGTGCGCCAGCACTAGTACATCGACCCGCGTCACCGCGCCAGGCGCCCGGCGAGCGCCTCCCACGCAGCCATCGGGACGTCGTCGGCGCGCCCGCCCTCCCGGGCCCTGGCCGCCAGGCGCGCCTCCAGGAGCGCCCGCACGAGCGGCTCCGGCAGGGCGACGTGCGTCCACCCGGCGATGCCAGCCGCCGCGCTGTCAAGCAGGGAGGGCTCCGGCAGGGCAGCCGGCGCCGGCCATGGGTGCCCGTGCTGCTGCCGCGCCGCCTGAAGCTGCAGCTGCTCCTCCTGAGCGCACGGCACCACCATCGCGCCCACCATCGCCTCCACCCAACCCTGCTCCGGTGCAGCCCCCAGCGCCGCGAGCACCGCGATGGCAGCGGCCGCGTTGCGCGGCGCAGGGACGCAGCGGTCATTGCCGTCGCGGCCGTCCAGCGCGTCGAGCGCGACCCGCAGCCACGCGGCGTCGGGCGCGACGCCCAGCCGCCGCACGCCCGCCAGCAGACCGACCACGTCCGCGGCGCTCGCGCCCGCGCCCGCGCCCGCGCCGGCCAGCGCGCGAGCGCCCGCGCGCAGCACCAGCTCCCGCGCGTCGTCCGCCGCCGCCGCCGCCGCCGCCAATGACGACGACGCTGGGTCTCGGCCGGACTCCGAAAGACCTGCGACGCCCGCCGGTCGCCACCCGGCCCGCGCCAGCGCCGAAAGCAGTGCCCCCTGCTCCCGCGCGCTTGAGCGCGGCAGGACTACCAGGGCGCGCGCCCCGAGCTCGCGCAGCACGCGCGGCGGAGGCCGGCGGCCGAGCGCGGCGGCGCCGAACAGCACCCCGGCGAGCTCCCTGGCCCCAAAGCCGTGCGCCGCCGGCCGCAGGCAGTACCAGAGGGTGTCCCACCAGGTGTCGCCCGGGCAGTACCCCAGCGCGCCAAGCGCGCGCAGCACGCACGCAAAGCCGGCCGGCGGCAGCAGGTGCAGCTCGAGCTGGAGCCGCGCGAGCGCCTGCCGCATGAACGCCTCACTGGGCGGGTGCCGCAGCGCCGCGAGCGCCCACAGCAGCTGGCAGGCGCCCGGCGGCTGAAGAGATGCCAGGTCAGCGCGCACCGCGGCGAGCGCTGCGCCAGACCACGCCGCGGGCGGCGCGGCGGCGCCGGCGGCGGGGCCCAGGCGCGCGGTCGCCCACAGCAGCACCGCGGCGGCCTGCGCGCCGTAGCCAGGGAGGTCGGGGCCGGTCGCCGCCCAGAAGGTGCGCAGCCAAGCGCCGCTGGGGCCCTGGGGCAGCACGGCCGCAGCCCAGGCAATTTGGGCGGCGTCACGCTCGTCGATCAGAGGCGGCGCGCTGCCGCCTGGAGGCGCCAGATGCGCCCGCTGCCCCGCGGGCCCCTCGTCCAGAGCGAGTGCCGCCTGCTGCTGCCGCCGCTGCCGCTCCGCCGCGGCTGCGGCCAGGGCGGCGCCGGTGCTGCTCCATGTAATGCTGGCCCAAGAGGCGCTCGGCTGCATGCCCAGCGCCGCCAGCGCCCACAGGATATTGGCGTGTTGCTGTTTGTTTGAGGGCCGGGGAAAAGGAGGTGCAAAGACCAGTGGGGTGAACGCAGCGACGCACAAGCGGGGTGAAACAGGCTTTCCCGCTGCAGTGGCAAGAAAGACAGCGCATCTGACGTGCTGGCCGCCCACCGGCAGTCATTGACCCCACTCATTGCAATTAGGCATTGATATGACGTGGCTGCCATGCAGCAAGGCAGCCGCACACTCTGTGGCGCCCAGGTCGACCCAGCCGAGCGCGAACGCCACGCGCGCGCCCCTGGCGCACCCGAAGCGTGGTGCGTGCCGTTTTCACGTTGCTGCCCTCCAGCACCAGCAGCAGCCGCCCCACCCAACGCTTGTGCATCTCCGCGCCGCCATGCTGCTGGTGTTGTGCCGGCGGGCTGTCGCTAGCACCTGCCCGTGCCGCGGGCGGGTCCTCGCTCTGCACACGTGACTCCTGACGCCGCTCATGATCCTGATCCAGATGCTGCTGCTGTTGCTGATGCTGCTCCCGCCGCCCGAGCCGCCCGAGCGCCCAAACCGTGTTGGACACGTCGTGCGGACAGAACAGCGGCAGCTGCCCCTGCACCGCCCGCAGGAGCCCGTCCACCCAGTCTGCGGGCGCCGCCACGCCCAGAGCCGCTGCGGCCCACAGGACCTGCGCCGCGTCGCGCGGCGCGAACGCCGGCGCCTTGGCGAGCGCCGCCGCGCGCGCCTGGCGCCACCAGCCGTCGCTCGGCGGGAGGCCCAGCGCCGCCAGCGCCCACAGCACCATCGACAGCTCCTGCGGCTTGAACGCCCACAGGCGGCGGCGCGAGGCCGTCTCGAACGCGGCCATCCAGCCGGCCGGCGGCCGCCGCCGCAGCCGGCCGAGGCCCCACAGTGCCATGGCCAGCTCCTGCGGCGTGTGCTGCCCGAGCTTCGCGGCCGACGCGCCCCAGTAGAGATCCCAGCAGGCTGGCGACGGATCGTGGCGCAGCGAGCCCCACGCCTGCGGCGCGGCAGGGCGAGGTTCAAGGGGACGGTCGGGCAAGTCGAGCTAGGTGCTAGGGGGATCGGGGGTGGGTGGGGCGTGCTATTTGACTTGAGCGGCAGGTGACACAGCAGCGAGCTGTCACGGTCACCAAGCTGCATGCGAAGCTGCTCAGTGCGTGAGGCAATCAGCACCGCCACCGCCACAGGCTACATGCAAAACGCTCACCCAGGCTATTGTGGCCAGCTGCTGGGGCTCCGGCGCCGCGACCTGCTGCACCCCGCCCGCCCGCTCCTGCTGCAGGCGTTGCAGCGCCGCCGGTGCCGCCGCCTGCGCCCCGCGGGCGACGAGCGGGTCAGCTGGCGCTACGGCCGTGGCGTGACGAGGCGCGGCAAGCAGGCGGGCGGCGACGGCCTCCAGGTCTGACAGGAAGTCCAATAGGTGGGGGTCCTGCCGCTGCTCGCTGCCGTCTGGCACCAGCCGCGCGAGCCGCGCGAGCGCCGCGCTCACGTGGATGGCGTTGAGGCCGCCGCGCGCCGCGCCGTCGCGCGCGGCGCGCCGCAGCGCGCGCCAGGAGGGCGCCGCGACGAGCCGTGCCGTCAGCAGCCGCGCGTCGCGCTCGCCGGCCGCTGCTGCTGCTGCTGCGGCTGCTGCTGCTGCTGCTGCTGCTGCTGCTCCTGCAGGTGCAGCGTCGCCGGCGCCGCTTGGGCCACTGGGACCGCTGGGGCAGGGCTGGCTGCAGGGTTGCGCGGACGCCTGAATTCCTGCTGCTGCGCTGCCCTGCATAGCAGCAATTTGCGCCCGCCCGAGCAGCTGCCGCCGGCTGCCTGGCAGCGCGGAGCCCCCCCACACAAGGTGAGGAGGCAGGGGCGGCTCGTTCGGCGCTGCGCTGGGAGCGCCCCAGACGCCCCACCCGGCCTCGCCCGTCGCGTCTTCATGACTCTCCTGCTGCCAGCACTCTCGCTCATCCTGCTGCTGATGCCGGTCTACAAGCTGGCGCTGCTGCTTCAAATGGTATTGGTGCTGCCGCCGGTTCCGACGCTCTGACAGCAGCTGGACAGTGGCGCGCCCGGGGGAGGCGACCGCGGTGCACAGTGCCCCACCAGGCGCACGGCCCTTGAGCCCGCGCATGGCCCCCGGGCGCTGGTTCATCGGCCCAGCTAGTGGGAGGAGGGCAGTAGGCGGTACTGAATGAGGGGCCGGTAGCTAGAGCGCAACGGCTGCGTCGCCGCCAGTCGGCCCCGCTGCAGCGGTGAGACGGCCGCAGCTGCGCAAACGGCAACACGGCAGGCGGAAAACTTTGCTGGCATGCCACCTTTATGTTGTAGCGGTGCTTACTACGTCAAAGGACGCACTACTGATGTCTAGTCCTCGTCCACATCGCCATCCAACACTCCCGCCGCTCCTGTCAAGCACAGCAAAGTCACCAAGTTGTCTACTATGATGACACCTGCGCTTCTACAGTAAGTGTGCGGGTTGCGGCGAGCCTTTGTTTCCCTTCAGAGTGGGCAAAGAAAGCCACAAGTCACGACAGCTTAGATCCGCCGCTATAATCATTACACGGACGTTTTTGGGATACTTTCAACACGAGTGTATCGTATGTGTCGGCCTTGGTGCGCTGTGAGGGCTGGTGTATGTTGTACCGTCGGCGGCCCCAGTGCTTGTTCCTGGTGCTGACCACGTCACTGTCAGCGCGAGATCCTGGCATTGCTGGCCAATAGCAGCGATCGCAAGTAATGAGCAGACTTTACATGTCCTCTTGCCTGGCAGCAGCACATGCTCTCAACATGCGCCACTCGCTCGCTGTGTGTACGGTAGTCAGTTTGGCGCACCCCCCGCCACAAAAGCAGCCTGCACTGGTGACACGGCAACCTGCGGCCCCCAGCCAGCCGGCTCTTGTACGAGGTTAGCACACCACTGCCGGTGGGAAGGCCAAGTCTGGCGCACTGCAGGGCAGCACCTCTGCAGACTGGAAGGTCAGGCCCTCGTACTTTGGAAACGCGGGCAGCTGCGGCTGCCCATCGCCGTCCGCTGCCGCCGCCTCCTCACCCTCCGCCTCCGCCTCGGTCCCTGAGCCTGGGACATTGCAAGGACCAGAGCGTCGTGGGTGTATCACCTTCAGCAGTGCGTTGCGGAGGTGAAAGATGTTCGTGCAAGCCTGCTCGCACCGCGACCATAACCCCCAGGGGAGGCTCAAACTTGTTGGCGGCGCCCCCTGGCCCCAGCCACGCTCACCTGCAGGGATGGAGTATGCCCCCAGGCAGCGCAAGGTGGGACCGTACTCCGCGACGAGGTGGCCCGTGGCGGCCGGCGGCAGGTCGGCGCTGCGGAAGGCGGCCAGCTGGAAGCTGCAGGGGCCTGGACAGCGAGGCAAAGGAAGACCAGCGGCGTATTGAAAGGCCAGGAGCCAGCCACTGCATCTCGCATCCCACCAACAATGGCACTTTCCCCTATGATGCGCTCGATTTTGAATTCACAACCGGTGGCGACCGGTTTGGACCGCACCTGCAGGCACACTCTTGACGAAGCGCCCCTCAAAATGGTAGTTGGGCTGGTCATACCGCCCCTCGCCCTTGAGCGCCCCCCGCTCCCAGCCGCCCGCCAGGCAGCCGCCCGCCGTGTCCCAAAACGCGCCCTGGCCGTGCTTCTTGCCGGCCTTCCAGGCGCCAGTGTAGAAGCTGCCGTCCGGGTAATGGTAGCTGCCCTGCAGTTGCGAGGCGCGTGCCAGACGTTGTGCGCGAGCAGCAAGGCGTGTCGCCCCCACCGCGTGCAGCGAGGTGCTCTTGCACAGCCCGCTGCCTGTAGCAGCCGTCCGTCTCAGCCCTGCCGCACCAACTACGTGCCCCCGCTGCGGTGTGGCCTTTGCACCCCCCTTTACACAGACATACACACACACACACACACACACACACACACACACACACACACACACACCACGCACGCACACACGCACGCACGCACGCACCCATGCACGCAACCACCGCGGACGCACCTGACCCTCAAAGCGGTCAGCTGCCCACTCGCCGTCGTACCAGCCGCCATCAGGCATCACCATGAGGCCGCGGCCCTCGCGCTTGCCGCCGCAGTAGGCCCCGAGATAGGCGGCTCCGCTGGCGAAGACGTAGAGGCCGTGGCCGCCCTTGGCGTCGGACGAGTAGCCGCCAAAGTAGGTGTCCCTGGATCAGGGTGGGGGCCTCATATGTGAGTGTGCGTCTGTTCACGCGTTCGTGACTTGCGCTTGTGCAAATGACGACTCAAAGGTGCAGTGACTCACCTGGTTGGTGAATGTGTTTCATGAGCCGTATGTACTAGGCACAGCACTCGGTCAACTGGCCGATGCAAGGCCCAGCACCCGTATCCGTCCTTAGCCCAAAGCGCACCCGTTGGCAAAGAAGGCTTTGGCGACTGTATCATGGCGCAGACCCTCAGTGTTCACACCTCCTGCAGGTTCGAAACGCATTGCGTGGCGTGTTTTCATCAGGCCCGCACCGCTGGCTACAGCAAGTGAGTCCGCCATCCTGACATAGCTTGTAAGTCCTCGTGACCAACCATGCACACATGCACCGCAAGCCTTGCTTCCAACGTCTCCTCCCACCAGCGCTCCTGCCAGCATGCGCGCACTATTCTCATCCCCCACCTTCACCCACCCTCATAGCCCAGCGCGTTGGCCACCAGAGTCTCATCTGCCTGCTCGCCCCCCGCGGCCGCGACCACTGCGCGCGCCCGCCACTCGCCGCGCCGCAGCCGCAGCCGCTGCACGCGCGCGCCCCGCGCGCAGACGCCGCCCGGCGCCGCTTCGGCCTCTGCTATGATGTCATCGTCCTCGTCAGCGCCGCCAACCTCGTCCTCGTCCTCCTCGACGCCCTCCTCCTCGGCCTTGGTCTTGGCTGCAACCGCAGCAGTAACCAGCTGTGTGCAGGGGTTGTGTTCGCTTAGGCAAGAGGTGGTGTTTCCATGCGAGGTATGAGCAACATCAGGCGTGTCACGCAGCAGAATTTTCAATTGGCTGGCAAGCTTTTGCCAGAAGGGAGCGCAGGCACAGACGAAGTCCATTGCACTGCAACAGCAGCACAAATTGTCCAGGATCAGCCGACCTCCCAGGCAGCCGTGGGGTCCGCCTGCCGTCAAAAGGCGCTCACCTGCTTGCGGGCTGCAAGGACAGCCAGCAGCGCGTCCTTGGCGCCGCCGGATGCCGCCAACGCGCTGGTGTCTTGTGCGCCAGACGCGGCCCAGGTTGCAAACGCGCCGCCGGCCAGCTCGCGGTACAGCTTAAGCATGACGACCTGTAGTAATCAAGTTGAGTCATAAGTGAGCGGCATGTGTGAGTTGGCACTCGACGGGGAGTCGTCGGCGAGCTTCAAGTGAGTTGACCACATCGAGCGTGTGAGATGGAGGGTGTGCGGGCTGGATTGTGGGGCGCCGAAGCGCAATCCCCATGAACTGGTTGCACGTGATACCGAAGGACCCTGCGGCTGCACAATGCGGCGGCGCCCGCGCCCTGCACCTGCGTTAGGTTGCCGTCCGCACCCTCCGCACTGTTCAGCCTGCAGTGCAGCAGCACCCTGCAGCGGTGCAGTGCAAGCCGGAGCGGTCACAGGACCATCAGCCTGAGCTTTTGGCGACGCTACACCCTGATCCTGAAGACACCGTAAGCAGTGCCACGGGAAACGCCAACCGCAACACTTGTGTGTAGCAGTCGCTTACGTCAACCCGCTGAGCCCCGGTGCACGCTGCGCCCAACCGACGCACCTCTCCTTGCCTCCCCCCGGCAGCATCAGGCGCGCCTGCAGGCTGGCGACGCGCTTGAGGCCGCCGCCGCCAAAGTTGCTGACCGTGAGCATCAGGGTGCGGGCCGCTTTGGGGAGCTCGGCCAGCGTGACGGTCACCTAGGCCAGGGGTTGGTGCACCGAGGCCTGGTGAGCTGGTGTGCACAGCAGCAGCAAGTGCTGAAGTCCACATTCCTTGTGTTGTCGAGCTGCCATGGACCGACCAATCCCATGCCTGCGCCGACGTCGACTGTCCGATTCAGCTGCCCCTGATCCTCGGCATTGCCCTCTAAAACCCCTGGCGACAATCCCTGATGCCGCTGACCCACAGAGCAACCCCCGGCCGCCCCCACCTTGTGCTTCCTCGGGAACGCCTCGGGGTAGTGCGGCTTCCGCAGCGCCGCCGCGCGCCGCTCCGCCTCCTCCTCCGCCCGCTTTGCCTCGGCCGCCGCCCTGCGCGCCTCGGCCGCCTCCTCATCCTCCTCCTCCCCCTCGCCGCCCTGGCCCTCCTCGTCGCCGCCCTCTTCTTGATGCTCTGCAGCCGCCGCCTCCTCGAGGAGCTCCTCGGGGTCCGCCACCGCCAGGCCCTCGGCCTCGGGGCTCTCGGCCGACACCGCCAGCAGCTCCTGCCCCTGCGGTTCCCAATTTGAGCAGGGCCAGCAGGGCACCGTGCCGCAGCGTTAGGGTGCAAGGGTGCGGCAGGGGTGACAACAGAGGGCTTCAAAACAAAAGGGTTTGGCGCCTCGCCTCCTCCTTCACCCAGCTCAGCGCTAAGGCCCCAATCCCACCAAAATGTCGCACCTTAACGTCAAATGCGGCTAGAGAAAACTCGAGCTCGGGGTCCTCCTCCTCCTCCCCCTCCTCCCCGTCATCGCCGCTGCCAGCCTTGCGCGGCGGGTGCAGAGCCCAGCCGAGCTCCAGCACCAGCTTGTCGGGCAGCTGCGCGGCAGCTGCTGGGGCTGGCGGCGCGCCCGTGGCAGCTGGTGCGGCGTTTGCGTCCGCGGGTGCTGCAGCCGTGTCTGACGCCTGGGCCTGCAGTAAGGGCCGCACGGGAGCCTCCCCAAGGTTTGGCAATGCAGGGTGCCACACACCTTGCACCCTCGTGCGGCGACGGCGTTGATGACAGTGCTCAGCCCGCCCATAACAACAGGCAGTCACGAACCAGTTGCGGCCGACCAGCACAGCCCCATCCCGCCGCAAAGCGTGACCCACACACTGCACCTGAAGCACCAGCTCCTCGAGGCTGCGATCCGCGCCCCGCCTGCTGAAAACCATCGGCGCCAGCGCCTCCCCCACTGGCCGAGCGGCCGCAGCCTCGGCGGCGCTGAGGAACGGCCAGCGCCGCAGGCCGCGCTCCAGGTCTGGCAGCAGCACGCCCCAGCCGTCGGCAGGAAAGGTGGAGCAGTCGAAGCTCAGGGTCCAGCCAGAGGGTGTCTGCGGGGCAGAAATGGTGGCAGCCGAGGGGTCGCCGCCAATCCCAGGGGTGGTGCCGGTGAAACACGATGAGGCTTCAAGAGACCCCGGCAGGTCAGCAACCCGGCTGCACTCAATGCCAGAGGCATGTGTGTTCCTGTGGTCCCATATGTCCAAGCGGCAAGCCTGCTGTAGGCGATTTGCATCGCGGTCAAAAGCATCGTGCATGACCGCTCCTGCCGTCCTGCGCGACGCACCGAGTACACGGCGCATATCAGCATGGATTGGTGGCCGTTGCTGAGCGGCCCCGTGCCCGGCTTGGCTGGTGTCATCACAAATGGCGCCAGGTCAACATCCAACACCTAAGGGTGGTGGCAACCACATGATGGCATGTGGAGTTGATGTGTGTGGCAAGCATCATTGGGCGACCAGCAGAGACACATGCGCGGGGCGTCATCAAAGGAGGGCGCACCCAAATGCAGGGTGCGCCAAGCCCATGTCAATTGGCACGCGTGGCACGGGTCGAGCGTGGCAGGCCCAGCCTGCATGCCAACGAACCTTGGCCTCCTCAGCGGCGCCTTTCTCTTTGGCGGTCGCCACGAAGCGCAGCTGCTTGGGGCAGGCCAGGTCGCTGCGTCTCAGGGGCGAAGCGGGCGCCGAGACCACCAGCAGCATGACCTGCGTGGGCGCGCGCATGGCTTTGGCATGGGCGCGGCACATGGTTTGCAGTATGCGCATGCCCATGCGCATGTGCAAGGCCCTCGCTCTTGTCTGGCTGCCGTTGGGTGAACTTGTGACAAGCAATACACAGGATAAAGATATGGGCCTGTACCAGAGGTGGCCAGGGGCTCCTGCATCCAAGCACGCCTGGGGCAAAATCACGGGCACCTCGCACTGGGGAGCGAAGTCAAAGGGCGCCATGACAAGGGCCTCGTCGACGCCGCGCCCGCGCTGCTGGTCCGACACAAGGCGCAGCGCGCCGCCGAGCGCGGCGCGCCGGTCGGGATGCGCGGCATCCAGCAGCTTGCCATCGCGGTCTGCGCAGCGGTTGCAGTGCGATTTTCACACTTGCATCACCGCCCTACATGCATGCGTGCTGTCACGTCTGCGCGATCGGCCACAGAGGGGTCATGTGAACTGCGACGCAGTGTGTGCGCTCATGTGTGCGCAGTGGCGCACCAAAGCAAACCGCAGCAAGCTCCAGCGAGACCCCGACTTCATCTTGAGCGGTAGCATAGCTCACGCCAAAGCTGCGATGGATACAATTTTAATTAGCCGGGATGATATGCGGCAGATTCGATGGATCCGCAAGACCGGAACTCGGGCGTCACCAACTGCACCTGAGGCGTTTGGCCTTGAATGGGAGTACCACAGGGGCCCCTGGCATCGCCATGGCGACCCTGTGTGAGCAGTCAGATCGCGGTCAACGTGCAATGTGCCACAAAGCGACTGGGAAACGCGTTGTGTGAAAGAAATTGTGATTAAAGTTTTCATTTGAACGAATCTTCCGTGTCCACTGAGACGTGCCGGCCGTGGGCGCTTGAATGGCATGGGTGTGATGTTTGAATGTGTGTGTGCGCGCTCAGGCTGCACACTGGCAGGCACGAGCACACTGCTGACCTGCGGTGCCACTGCTGACAACAATACAATTCTGCATCCCGCCATTGCACCCCCGACATCGCTTTACCCCAAACCCCAACCGCCCACCACCCGAGAATAGGCCAGAGAGGAAGGCGCTGGAAAAGAAGGCAAAGCGCATTCCATGGCTCAACGTATCAGCATTGTAATCAGGGGCGTTGTTGAAAAGCAACTTGTCACTCCAAGGCTTCTAACAGGAACACAGCAGCTGTCGTGCACACGTGGGGGCCGGTGTGCAGCTGGTGCCCGACGCAGGCAGGCAGGCAGGCAGGCAGGCAGGCAGGCAGGCAGGCAGGCAGGCAGGCAGGCAGGCAGGCAGGCAGGCAGGCAGGCAGGCAGGCAGGCAGGCA